GGTCATAGCTGGAACAAGGGGAATAGAATCCACAATTGGAAGTGGAAGAGGAGGAGGTGATGAGGAAGCATCACCGGACCCCAAGAAAAACGGAGTAGACTCAAAGAAGGTAACATTAGCACACACAAAGGAACGTCGAGGACTAGGATGATAACACTTATACCCTTTCTGGGTCCGGGAATAGTCAAGGAAGATGCACTTAATGGATCGTGCATCTAACTTGTCCTTCCCGGGGCCCAGATTATGGACGAAGTAGACACACCCAAAGACCCGAGGAGAAAGAGGAAACAGAGACAAGGTGGGAAACAAGGTAGTGAATGGGGAATGACCATCAATGATAGACGTGGGCATCCGATTAATCAAGAAGCAAGAAGTAAGCACTGCATCACTCCAAAAGGGTTTGGGAACATTCATGTGATGCATGAGGGATCGAGCTATTTCCAAAATCTGATGATTCTTTCTCTCAACCACCCCATTTTGTTGTGGGGTGTAGGTACATGAGGTCTGATGTATAATGTCATGTTGGTCCAAGTATTCTTGAAATGATGAAGAGAAATATTCACGACCATTATCGGAACAAAAAATTTTAATATGAACACCAAATTGGTTGCGAATCTCAGCATAAAATTTTTGGAAGATGGTAAACAATTCACTCATTTCTTTTATTGAATAGAGCCATGCCATCCTTGAATAATCATCAACAAAAATGACAAAATATCTATATCCATTGTATAACATCACTTTATAAGGACTCCAAACATCTGAATGAACCAAAGAAAAAGGACTCAACACGCGGTTATCAACCCTAGGACTAAAGGGAACACGATGTTTCCCCAATTGACACGACTCAATCTAAAACAGAAAGTTGACTCAACGAAGGGACCAAAGATTTCAAAACTTCAACGAAGGATGACCAAATCGACAGTGCCACTGGAGAGGAGAGAGGGATGACTGGAGAGCTGTTGATGTTCTTCCACCACTGTCAAGATAATACAATCCACCAGCTTCATGCCCTCCACCAATCTTCATCCCYGTSTTGAGATCCTRAAAAACACATGAAGAAGGGTAAAAAGTAATAGAGCAATTGAGTGACTTGATCAACTTACTAACAAACATAAGGTTAAACGGAAATTTAGGGACATACAAAATAGAGGATAAAGATAGGGGGGTCATATTAACATTGCCAACACCACAAATGGAGGATGTGGAACCATTAGCAAGGGTAACAGATTGTGATGTTGAGCAATGAGAGAGGGAAGAAAACACACCTGGAGTTCCAGTCATGTGATCGAAGGCTTCAGAGTCAATAATCCAGGGATTGGGTGTGGATGCCAAACAACCCATACCTGATTGTGTGAAAGTTGCCGTGTTCTGTTGAGACGTGGATTGGACAAACCTCTCATACTCATCACGAGGAACACCCACCATCTCCTTCCCAGTAACTTCTGTGGATGTAGGAGGCATCTGATCAGCTGAACGATTCTCCTGTCTGAAACTAGTGTCACTAGTCATGGCATGATTGGCCCAAGTTGAGGGTGAACCATGCAAGTCATAGTAATAATTAATGGTATGTCCATCCATACCACAATCAGTACATCTCCTCGGACCCGAGCCACGTCCTCTGCCACGGGCTCCCCCTGAATCTCTACCTCCAGTATGACCACCACCACGGTTATATGTAGGTCCACCACCACCACTGCTACCACTTCGGCCAGACTGAGCTCCTCGAGCTCTACCTCTAACACCATATCCTCTTGATACTGCAAAGCCGGATCTATCAGAAACATTAGAGTTCTCAGTACATTCAATGGAAGTCCTCCGGAGTTGAGCAAACACCTCTTCTAAGGAAGGGAGAGCTGACCACCCTAGTATTTGAGCTTGCACTGGTTCATACTCAGATTTCAGCCCCACCAAAAATTGAGTCACATCAAGTTGTTCTCTCTGTTGTTGCTGAATTTTGACATCAGAAGTGAAGGGGTGATAAACATTCAACTCATTACGAATGTTTCTCATACTAGCATAGTACTCCTCAAGACTCTGATTGCCCTGTTGCAGATTAAAGTATTCCTGATACAGCTGATATACTTTG